ATAACAGCAAAGATTGCCTCCCAGTATTACAATTCAGTCAACTTGACGGTATTGCTCCGAACTGGCACGCTCAATTTGGACATTTTACTTGAACCCTTAAATTCAACCTTTTGAGTCTTTACGAGAACTTAACTTAACTAAAAGTATCGTAACCGAAAACGAACGAAACTATTCAACCAAAAACAATAAAAATGTTCGCATAATATGCTAGAAGCAGTTAGGGTTACAAAAACAAACAAGCCCACCTATCCGCCGTGCTTGTTGTGTAAAGCAAAGCATGCCCTTTTGTTTTGCGATGGGCTTAACTAAAAGAACTCAGCAGGGAAATTTTGAAGCTGAGCAAAAACTTTGCTTCGCGCGCCTCAATAGGAACCATTGATTCCGTAACTGCACGGAGGCAAAGAAATGTCTCAGACAGGACTGTGAGGTTGAATTTTGTTTCACTGTGCTGATAAAATTTTTCGACGAAAAGAAAAAAACCATGAATCAAAACCGAAACGTGTTAAATATTTCCCGCTCAAGCGGTTTTAGGAAGGGAAAATCACAAAGAATTATCGAAAAGACTGTTTCCAATTGCAACAGTTGGTATATCTTCGGATGACAACATTTTCCAGACGTTGGTTCTCTGCGACGGATCAACTACACATTCTTGGGTAACCTCATCTCTCTCGCTAGCCGCTTAAAGCTGGTTGGGGAGCCAATCCATTTGCACATCAGTGGTTTCAATGCTAAAAACGTCATCGAAACTCATTGAGTCAAATTGTCTCGTCTGAACCGAACAACTCCGATTTGTTCATCACAATGAAATCTTTTGTGAAAGACAACATTTCCGTTGGTACGGAATGTATGAAGATGCCTGAGTTGCAGGACATAAATCCTATATTAGCTCCTATACAGCGCCTACAGTACAAGTATATATAGAAGTTATCATAGGACAGGAGTACTACCACGCCGCTTGTCCGATTCAGCTTCTCATTACTCAAAAACATTTGACAATGATAATTTACCAGAAGGTGTAGGGAAAAATTTCTTGAGGGGCACTCCCGCCTCCTTGTATTAGATCAACTGACATTTTTCCGCAGTTACTTCACGGAAGCTGTGGATCGTATCGAGCTTCACACGTTTTGTGAAAGCTCGCAGGATCTTTTCTGTGCCGTTGGGCCTTTGCGTGCGCTCGCACAAAGCTAGAATATCTTTTGTCTTCGATAAAGCACTTTTTGCGCTAAGGAAAGCGTTGTCAAAACCCAAGTTAGGGCTTCAATCTGCTTAACTTGCCAAACGGTTAAAAATTGAAAGTATGAAAGCGCTCACAGTTAAAGTGAATGATATCTTCATGTGAACAGATGGTGCCACCCCACTGCAGTGGCCTAACTCTAACGATAGGTTGCCTGTCTTCTGCAGCGTTAACACCGAATCACTTTTTGCCGGAAGCTCACCTCCGCTTTCTCCCGAGGATGTTTTGATCATATGGAAAGGTACTTACGAATCCAGTCGTACGGCGACGCTATTTGGTCTCGTTGTCTACGAAAATATGTCTCTTTACCTATCAAGATTGCGAAAGGGAACACCCAATCTGAAAACGGGTGATCTTTTATGAATTATTGAACCCGATAGCTCGCAATAAATTTGCCCTCCCGCCCGCATCGTTAAGTTTTTACTACGGCGAAGACGGATACACGCGTTCTGCCCTTATGATGACAGCCACGACCGACCTTACCCTACCGACGGTAGGCTTGCCCCAGTTCTTCAATCTTTGGGGTAGGAGGATGCTGCAGAGCAAAAATAGGTTGTGTTAGTGTGAAAATAAAGAACAAGTGAAAACGCTCAAAGACTAACATGACTAAAGTAAATTACAACGGCCAAACCGCCGGTCACTCGGGTTCAAATCTCCCAGTAGCCTAAGTTTCATTCATGCAAACCCGAGGGTCTATAGTCCACTTTGACCGTTTTTCAAAGTTTTTTTTCTCTAAATGGGTTCAGACTTAACCAGTTTTGATCTCTAAAAAAGACAATTTGTCTCAAGGAAAAATACTAGTGTTTCGAGAGCTTTCTTCGAGTTTTGAGCTGTAAATTCTTGGTGCTATGAACGATTTATAATGTTCAAATTCAACGATTGTCGGATTTATTTGCCGAGAAACATTTGCTGTTAATTCAAATGTTTGAATGGGACTAATTGCAGGTTTTATCAGTGTTTGAGATTGGAGCGAGCATAAGCTTTTAAATTTTGTAAAATAAAGGAAAATACTCTAATGAAGCAGCAACAAGGATAGTGATCATCCGTAATTTTTGTTGTCGCCAATGCAAACAGACCAAAATGTTTTTAAAAAAATTTATAAACTATTTTCTTAGCACAAAAAAATGTGCCAAAACAACCATTCGAGCTAACGCTCACTTGTTTTGTGAAAAGAAAATCTTGTTCGTTTGTTGGTTATCTGAGGTATTTGGTGAATTTTTGAGCAAAAACTTTGCCGGTTTGTAGTTACTCTCATCCAAGATTTATTTAGGTTGGTTGAGATTCAAGCGTTACATACAAATAATGTATTACTGTCAGTAGCGTGCCAAATTTCCAAAGGTGGTTTCTTTGGTTTAACTTTATGTAATCCATTTTTAGCTGAACAACCTGAAAATTATCCTAAAGCCGCCTTAGACGCCAATATGACTAAACTTGCGAATGACTAAAAAGGAGGTGACTTTAAACAGCAACCACAAAATTAAACTCAACACAAGGATAGCCGGTTACTGTGCAAATATTACAAAATGATCCGACCATAGTCTCAGAAAATACCAAATTGAAGTTTTTTCAAAATATGTAATTTTTTCTGCGTTTCGTTGAGAAAAAACGCAGATTTTAAAAAGTAATGACAAAAAAAGTGTGATTTAAAAAGTGTGAACAAAAAAAAACTTAAGCATTTTCGACGTTCATGGTAGAAAAAGTCAATTGAAAAACACTTTTGATAGAAAATTGACTAAGAAAACAAAAGAAAAATTGTAAAACAAATTTTACATAAAAATTGCTAAAAAAAACTCCAACAAACAAGATGTCTCGATCAAAACCAAAATTTTTTGCGGCCCAATTTATACATAAATAAGCTATGGTAAGCCTGCTCTTCTCGCTCGCCTTAATTTGTCCGAAGTTAAACCAAAAATCAAAAGTTTGAAACTAGTATTTGTCAATTCTAGAAATTTTTTTTTCAATAACTCTAGACTTCAATATGATGTATTACTTGATCCATCCCAATGATTATTTGGGGTACTTGACTTTTCGTGGAAAACATAAAAAAAGTAAAAAAAGAGAAAAAACTAAAACACACCCGAAACCAAAGTTACTCCCCATTTTCAAATGGTCGTAAAATTTCGGTCAAACTGTCTTGTTGCAAAGATGCATAAACGGTTTCTCGGAAAAAAAAATTTCTGATTCTCATCTTTTTTTTCTAACTTATTTTGTAACCTGAAAAAAGTAACGAAACCTGTTTGTTACAATACATGGATGGCTATCAAACAAATCAGAGTCAGAAAACCCGATTGAATTTTGTCCGTCTTGTCAGATAATTTTTTTAAAGAAAAAAGTGCAGAAAAAAATCTCAAAAACATCCAAGCATAGTTGCCTTATCTGCTTTTGAATCAATTTTTCTGGCATGCCATTTGCAAAAGATGTTTCTCTTCTGCAATCAAACTGGATACCAAATAATTTTTTATGCGAAATTTAAACTTTGAACGTCAAAAATATTCAAGCTTAGCAAATCTTTAGAATGAACAAATGGCTACCCGGGATTTTAAAAAAATGTGTCCAATTTTTCTAATGAAATTGACATATCACTTGATAGATACCTTTTAAGAAAATGTCACCTGAAATTGAAATCGGTTTTGATATATTTTCGAAAAATATTGACCAGGGTAATTGGTGAACGACTGAAACAATGGAGCATGAATTGATGTGCGTAAACTTAAGGCCATAAACCGTGAATAAATGTTGAAATTTGTCTGAAGAAAAAAAACCCACCCCGAGCACAACTATTCCGTCACTTTCGTATCGAAAGTCGGAACAAAAAGATGTTTGAATTCAGTAGCGTATAGATTTTAGTGTTTCAAATCAGCATTTTAGAAACTGGAATAGCGACATGAATTGTTCCTGTTTTCTATAATCGCGCTTCCATAAAATTCAAGCATCACAAAAAGGAAGAAAAAATACTTAAAAAGTTTTGACCTCAGAGAATCGAGTCTTATGAAATATCATGAAAAGCTCTGAAAGTTTTCAAATTTGCTTTGATGACAAAATAACCACGAGCAAATGTATTCTGTTTCTTTCTTTGCCATTCAGAAAAAAAATCATGATTCTAAATACAATCCGTCTAGTTTTCTTGCAGGTTTTTTGTAGGTTAATGAGATAAACTGGATGTCACCCCGGGTTATGGCGATACAAAAAAATGATTTGCTTCTTTTTGCCTCTCTATAATAAAATCATTGAAGAAGTACTAGATAATTTTAATCATAATAAAAGAAAAAAACAAGAGACAAAAATTGATGCGGTGAAAAAAATTATTTCATTTGCAGAGTTTTAGAGAATGAATGAATGAAATAATATTGCTCAGTGTGTTTTTTAATCAGACAGGTTTCATTTTTCGACCATTTTTCGACTTTTTTTGCACTTTACATAGCGCGTTACCAGGTTTTGAAAAAAAATAACTCCAAATTTTTGTCAGTTTTTGTTTGAAAGTTTCAAATTATTTTTGAAGATTAAAAAACTATTTAGATGCGTTAAAGGGCATCCGGATCACTCAAAGCTTTGCTCTGATAAAAACAATTTTGTTCAAGTTCGCTTTTTTATGGCCAACAAGTGTTTCTCAATGACAAATGCGCAACATGTTATCCATTTGAATGAATTTGAGATCTCTACACTTGCAGAAATATCGCAAAAGAGCTTCAAGTATGTTCTATCTTCATTCTTGTTTTCACATTAATGGTTTGCATATTTATTGTTCGATGTTGAAACTAAACGAGTACTGAAGCGTATAAATTTGAACTGCAAACCAAAAACGAAACTGCGTAATTTATGGTAAATACGGTCGGTGCTTTTATACACATGGCATGGTAAACATGCTATAACGCTGCCTAAAACTATATACTCCATGGTATAAAGCGCATATTAACTCTGCAAATACGCTAAAGCGAGAAGGAATCGAAAATGTTAGCAAACTATAAGTTCAGTTTTCTGAGCATAAAACAGATATTTAATGTCAGTCCAAATGGCGCAAAGTAGTTAAATTTGTTGGTAGAACTCGTTACAATTGTCGATAGTTGCTCTGCGATAAAAAGCGACACTTTCCGAAATCCGAAATCACCTTTTGCCAATCAAAATAGTTCAGATTTTTCGGCCTCCAGAATTTCATATCAACTAAGCTTGACTCTACAGGAAAAGTCTTTGTTTTATCCACTTTCGAACTGAAGCAGCTGCTTTGACTTTTGGTTGCAGAAGTTATGTTCTCGATCAAATTATGACTTGGCCTGTTGCGCATTCCTTTCATTCAACCAAGTAACAAGGGACATTTTGCGGAACTTTATCTTCGCTTGCAGTGTGCTTAATCATTTGATATCTGGAAGTAGATTTCGTCCATTCAGAAATATACCAACGGAGTGGACAGTCTTGGTGAGTTAAACAGAGTTTCAAAATGGTAAAGAATACTTTGGCAAGGGGCCGATAGGCATGTGGAAACATTGCGCACGGTTGCGTCTATGTTTTTGATTAGAAGGATTGGCAAAAAATCGAAATTTTGACCGGGCTATGTATATTGTTTTATAGATGCCGAAATTTTCAGAATTTACACAAATTTACAGAAATATGGCCGATAATGACGTTTTTTGACATTTCATTTGTACAAACTTCCGCTGAGTAGTTAACTATCTATTTATCACTTTATGTTCCGGTTTTCGAAGAAAGCTCGGAATAGTAAGGCTTGGGATGTTTTTTTTTGTTCTGACTTTCGAAGAAAGTGAGGAATATATATATGCTCGAGGTGGTTTTTTTTCAATCAGACCATTTTTACAAAACTCTGATTCATCGGGGGATCGAACTCTTGATCTGCATGGGCCCTCTCGGTTCTGCACACCATTGAACTATCTAACCACCAATCGGTTGAAACTGCTCATTTTATAATTTACATGCGTGGCGAATTATCCCGCGCTGCAAAACTGTTCCAAAGTGAGTTGAGGCAGCTAATTGGTTTTATTAACTACATACACAACTCAAATTGTAACACTCTTAAATTTTAAATTTAAGAATGATCAGCTTAAAATTCATAGTTTTGCAATTACTGAATTTACCAAAAGCTATTCGAGACCAATTTAATGGCAATTGGAACACTCAGAGAGTTGGGCTGATACGAGCAGTCTTGTTTTCATTCAATAAAATTTCAAGTTCTTAACTAAGATTTTTTACCGGATTTTGTTATACCATTTGAGAGATATTATCTTCCTTTCAAATTTACAAAATTATTTTACCTTTGATCATTTTCCAAAAAGTTATAGGGGTTTGAATTTTGCTTAATTGGTCAACTTGGGATAACTAACGCATGATATAATGCGTTCTCATAACGCATAAACGTGCAGTCGGAATATTAAGGGCCTCGCCCTGATATACGAGGAGTCTTGTTATTGTTCTGTCTTTCGATACGAAAGTAACGGAATATTTGTGCTCGGGGTGGGGTTTTTTTTCTTCAGACAAATTTCGACTTTTTAACTAGCCATTTTTGACGGAATTTTTTTATATCATTCAAAAGGTATTGTTGTCCTGAGCTTAAATTTGAAAAGATATTTCACCTGTGATCATTTTTCGAAAATTATGAGAGTTTAAATATTGCCATTTTGGCCATTTAATCAATTTGGGTTAATTAACTCGCGATATAATTCGCGCTATTAACGCGTAAGCGGAGATTTAATCCGTCTTAGAAATCGTTCCAAATTGGTTGATCGAAGCTTAGTTGCCGTAATTGATTTGTTACAAGGAACGAAATCTATCTTTTGTACTTTATATGGCGTGTCGGGTGATGACTTTTATTTAAAAATTTTTTTAAATTAAATGTAATAATTTTTGTTTTATTACATTTAATTTACAAAATTTTGTGCAAAAAAAAGCGCGCAGACAAACTATTTGATCAAGGAACTTAATTAAGACCACTAAAACACGCTTTTGCGATCAAAAAAACTTTAAATGGTTAATACAAATTTCGAACGAACTACACCTTTGTTGTTTTTGCCGCATTAAGAAATACTGAGGAAAGCTAAGGTGTAGGATGGGTTTTTTCACCAATTTTAGTCAACTTAAAGAAAACTCGTAAAGGGTTAACTGTGTTATCATATCAGGCGCGGAAGTATTCTCAATTTTCTGAATTTTTTCAAGCGAGCTCTTTAAAACATTTTTTAAATCATTTTTGACAAAACTTGACAAAACCAAAAACTCTAATTGTAACTAGTTTAAGTTAAGAAGTTGCGCTTTTTCACCAGCACTTCCCCTCTAAAAGCTAGGGACAGAATATATAGGTTTTTTTGAAAACGGAAAACGAGAGAAGAGGCCAAATTTTTGTGAAAAGGGGGTATCTACAAACTTGGTTCAGTTCAAAAAAAATGACAGAAAAACGACAAAAAAATTCGTGTAGAGAAAAACTGGTCTGATTTAGTCGTCAGTAACAATTCCACCCTGACTATATGTCATGATTCTGAAAAACCAAAGTCTTGGTGCAAAGAAAAAATTTGTCATTTTCCGATTGAAGCAATCAAATGATGCATTATCATATGTATAATGTTGAAAACTCAAAAAGTTGGCTTGTCACGTTTTCTTCAAAAAACTATACTTTGTTCATTTCTTTTTTCTTACTCGCAAAAACAACCAGAGTTTAACTTTGAGCTAATATTTCCCACCAAATGCTATCCTTATAAGCAAAACTAAAATCAAAAGAAAATAATGATGTGTTTTGTCGTGTTTGTTATAAGAGTGCAATGACAGCTGAACTGTAAATTACTTAGTTTTTCTTCTGCCATCAAAACAAATAGTCATCTCCTATAATTAGTGTGTTGACGACTGTAGCCGGGTGACCTATGTAGCAACCAAAATATAATCGCAAGTTTGATTGGCGGCATTTCATCAGAAAAAGCAAATTGATCAGGATCAATTACTCCGTAGTTGAAAGAAACTTTCCCTATCGAACTCCGCGCCATCTAAAGCAGGGCCATTTGTTTGCTGTACATTGCGGAATCACTTGATTTAAGTTTTTTATGTAAAAAACTCTGCAGCGGACTTCCTAAGAACTTCTGTGGGTTTCAAATTTCAAAAAAGCAAGCATTTGAAGATAATTTTGATTCCGCAGTTTTCATTGAAATCCAAATTTTTCATACGTTTTGCAACAATGCAATGGCTATCAATCACATTGCACCATTTGCGTGTATGGCAGTGTATCGACTAGCTTGAAGCTCGACTAGATTGAAAGTTTTTTTAAATTAAAAATTGTATAAACTAACCTAAAAATTGAAACACAAACACGTGTTGTTAAAACTAAAATCATTATATACAAGAAAGTGGTTTAAATCCCAGTTCATTTTGCACATTTCACACTTATATTCAATATATGATTCAAGCCACTACAGGTCGGGGTATGGCTTATCACAATTTATCTGTTAGGATGTTTCATTTGCTTAGTTTTTCGATTGCTAAAATTGTTATTTCCCGGAAATTCAAAGTTTAATTTGAACGGATTATAATAGCAGTTTTGTCTTTTTGAGAAAAAAAGCTAGCAAAGTTAAGCTAGTCGATACATTTTCAGGTTTTCAAAATTTTTAAGCTAGTCTACTTTTATGCTAGTCGAGCAACAACCGTGTAGAATTTACTTTTTTTCTTGCTTCTGTGTTTTGGATGAACTGTAATAAATACTGTAAGGGAATTGGGGTTACGTAGCAGTATTTAGACAACCGCGTATTCCTACTTGTCAGTAAGCAGACAAATACTGTTTTAACCAATCAGAATCGAGACAAGGAAGAAATGAATAAAGAATAATTGTTGATTTCGAAAGTTCGCTTTCCAATCTCGATTCTGATTGGTTCATACAGTATTTGTCTGCTTACTGACGAGTAGGAATACGCGGTTGTCTAAATACAGACCGCACTCCGGGAATTGGAAAGGTTGGATTGCTTTTGATCTCAACATCCCTTTGCAAGTCGTTTGAAAGCTTTATTTAGTAATATTACATTATTAATATTTTTACTTTTTCATAATTTTTTGAAGCATAGGCTTTTGTATTTATCTATTGTGTTTCTGAAAATCATAATGGATGATTTTCCAGTTCAGAAAAATCCGGTGGACAAAAAAATTGGTGTACAATATTCCGGTGGACAAAATTGTGTTGGAATCCTGATTTGCAGAAGGTTTTCAGTTTTTTACTCGAAACTGAATTGCATCGAATCCTCAAAAACAACCTCTTCGCCCTCGACCCTCGTCCTTTCTTCCGACTCTTTTTCCGACTTGTCTCAGGAAAATGCTTGTGTTCAAAAATCTGTTTTTTTATTTTATTCAAACTCCTCTAATTATTTTTGTTGAATTGATTTTACAATTTTGACACTAATTTAGTTGGAAGAAAAAAATTAAAATTCACATACTCTCCGTTATGTCCCCCCCCCAATGCATCTCGAAATTCTTATGGTTATATTTTAAAATGTTATCTGAATTATTATCTGCATGCTGTTCTAGGGTGGTACTGGGTTTTTTTCGAGGCGGGAGGGGGCTGATATTCGAATTTTTTTTAGTTAATTTATTTTTCTGCAGCCAGTCAAATTGATTTTCTCAAGGCATCCCAATTTCATGTAACAATTGTACCTAAGTAATTTCAGTTTTTGTCACCTATTTGTTAAACCTAAATTCAATTCTCCTAAAACATAAGAAAATATAAGGCAGTTTTGAGAGATAAGTGTCAAAACGTACTATCTTGAATCCGTTTACTCGAATTGTCATCTTGACAAGAAGAATTAAGTCAGATGTGTTTGAGCTTTTCATCTTCAATGATAAGTTTTGTTAGAGGCAACTAAAGGTCTTTCTATTTAATGGGGATTTGCTTTTGTGAACTAATCTTTTTGGGGGTTTGAAGGGAGTTTTCTGTTCGCTGAAATCAACAGTCTGTATAATTGTCAATTTTTTGAGCTAAAATTACAGCATTTATTTACCATTTGCAATGCACTTTGTTTTCAGCATATTGATCTTAAGATTGATCACGTCTTCTGCTTTGAAAAATTAAGTCACAATTTAGCAACCTTTGTAATTTTCTTTTATGCTGTGCTTGGCTATCCAATTGATTTTTATATTTTCTGCGTACTTGGGAATTAAACACGGAAACCTTTCATTTTTTACCTGTTTTTTCCTCCTTAATTATGAATTGATCATGATTTCAAAAAGTTCAATTTTATTTTTGGTGAATACCAAATCATAAATTGCTGCTGAAATTGTTTAACTGTTTATAAAATTAACGGATTGATTATCGTTTCTCTCCGGGGAAAATTTTGTTTGTTATTTATGTTGGCATGGTGAAAATATAAGCTACTAACTTAACTAAAAGCGTTTTTAATGTTATCGCTAAATGCGCTCAAATTTCGCTTGGAATAGATAAAAACAAGGTACTCATTCGTCAAACTGCATTTTTGACAAAAATAGCAATTTTGGTAATTTTAATGAGGTATCGTGCCTTTGCTGTTTGAAAATTTAACGAAACACATTTAAATTTTTTTCGCATTTCCTTGCCTTCTGTTTTTTTTCAGTTAGATAAAAGTATTTATTTTATTGTCTGAAGCAACGTTTTCACTTGTTATAAATATTCTCCTTGTTTTTCGCTCTTCAGACACGAATTAGCGCTTAGCCTAGACTAAGTGAGAAACAGAATTTTTTGAACATAATTTCATTCAATTTACGGAAGACGTGCAGATGAACAATAAATTTAAACGAATTCCCCCGACCTGAGTTCGATTTCCTAAAATAGTAAGTTAATTAACTTTACAACAAAACACCTGGATATAAAAAAAGTTAGTTGTTATTGTTTATCTCAGGTTTGAAAGTCTGTTTTGAAAAGTAATTTCAAAGAACCTTCTCCAAAAATTTTTTAAGCACAGAAAAAATGTTATCTTGGCAAGGTTGAGGGCTTTTTCAAGTTAAATAGTGTAAGTTTTAATTGTTTTATAGGTGGGGGGGTTTGTAGGATTTTCAAAAATTTTTAACCGTTGTACTATGTTTCTCAATTTGCGCAAAACGTGTGACTAAGCCCCACTAATCCCCCCCCCCCTACTCCTGCATGCAACTATCTAAAAATAAGGGCAAAATCTAAGTCCAACTTTTAAACTGTAAACACCCAGTTAAAAGTTTATGTCATACTACCTTCTGATACTGGTTTACGGCTAGTTAATCTTACTATTACCGTCTGTTGGCGTTATGTTTTATTAGCTGCATCTCGTTTGTAAATAGCGTAACAATAAGGTCACAACTCACAATTTCGCCATGTTTCACTTTTTAAAATGGTGTTACACCAGAACCATTCAACGGCAGACGCGATAGCTAAAAGTTATGCAAAAGTTGCAGGTAAACCTTTTTCTAACACTAATAACATCACATGAAAGCGCGCATTTACCGAGAGATTATTTATGTTTGCTTTGATCCAAATATCAGGTAATCATTATAAATCATCGGTTACGATGAATTGTGACTTTTGTTCTGTTTCTAGCTAATTCAGACTTACCAATAGCGGAACTGGGCGCTCAATCAACATCGATATCTAGACAGTTGGCTTTTCAGATCACACATTGCTGGCGGCTTTTACAAGTCGGATTTAGTTCAAAATGAGGAGAAATAGTGGTTTCTCAATCGGGCGCAAATTGACCTCATCCGCCCTTCCTCCGCCTTTTTTTTTGACCTTTGTGCTGTTTGTTGTCTGTGTGAGCCCCGCTCTTGCATCCGATAATACAACTACTAGTGAGCCCATATATGGAAAGTGTGACCCTAACGCACCCAAAGAGGACTGCAGCACGGGGGAATCATACTGCCACGTTAGTACAGAAAGTTAAAAGTTATAACAAGAAAAACCAGTGGGTATATTTGAGAAGCTGTCGCCCATACTGACAAACTGAAATTGAAATTGAAGTTAGATAGATCATTGCAAGTGGTTTCAAGAATGGCACAAAAAGTAGGCTGTTCTATTTTAGCATTTTCAGCACTATAAAGGTTATAAAGATTGTTAGTACTGACTTCAAAGCTAATTTAAACTTTTAGTTACCTATGGGTAACTAATAGTTTAAATTAGCTTTGAAGTCAGTAACTACAATTACTAATAACTTATATACACCGCCTTTTTCGCTCACCTTGAGAACTTCTCAATTGATGTAACTTTTGATACCTTGATGATTTTGACCTGCTGATACTCTCAGTTTACTTAATACTGCTTTTGTTGCCACAACTTGATCAACTCAAATTAATCAGCTCCACTAAAAGGGTCTGCTTAGCTTTGAACGTGAATCATGCTTTTGAAACACAGAGAACCATCAACAATTACAGTTCAATTCTACAGGCGATCGAATGATGCAACTTGAAAAGTTTTTCTCTGTGACCGAACAAAATGATGCAACTTGAAAAAAGGTTCATCCGAAGCTAATCCTACCCCAGGTTTTTAAAATACTGCATATGAAAAATGAGAATTCGACCCAGCTAAACTTTTTTGATATGAAAAATTTGGAAAAACCTCTTTTTCGGTTGGTACCGCGGAACAGAGACAGACCTATGATTTTCTCGAGGTGGGGGGATTTCAAACATTTTGTCCACTTTTTTAGGCCGACTCTAAAATGATCATCCGAGCGGTCCCAAAACACTATAAAGATCCTATTTGGACAAAATTTTCTGCGTCGCAGTCAAATTTTTGAAAAATGCCTCTTGAAATGCCTCTTGAAATCTTTGAAAAATGCCTCTTTTTTTTGGCGCGCGCTCCCTTTCAAAATTACACTATGTTGGCACCGAAGGTACCCTTTAAAAACTTCATGTAAGGTACCCTTAAAAATGCCTCTTGAAATCTTTGAAAAACGCCTCTTTTTTTGGCGCGCGCCCCTTTCAAAATTACACTATGTTGGCACCGAAGGTACCCTTAAAAAACTTCTTGTAAGGTACCCTTAAAAATGCCTCTTGAAATCTTTGAAAAATGCCTCTTTTTTGGCGCGCGCTCCCTTTCAAAATTACACTATGTTGGCACCGAAGGTACCCTTAAAAAACTTCATGTAAGGTACCCTTAAAAATGCCTCTTGAAATCTTTGAAAAATGCCTCTTTTTTTTGGCGCGCGCTCCCTTTCAAAATTACACGATGTTGGCACCGAAGGTACCCTTAAAAAACTTCATGGTTTGTCGTCGAAAATGGATGACATAAAATAAGACCAAATGAGGGACCTTTTGGTTGGTGAGGGGGTGGAGGTTAAAGATGCCCCCGCCCCTGCCGAAAAAATTTCTGCGTAAATCCGCCCCTGCCGAATAACCATTTCGTAAAAAATAAAAAAAGCCTAACAAAAGACTTTTATACTGATTTTGAATTGATTAAAGTTGATTGCTTTCCTACATTATCTCTAAAATTGATTGGAAACTATTTCTTGAGAGGAATTGTCGGTAATTCTAGGGAGTTACTTCGAATACGTTTTTAGCTTTGTTTTCTGTTAGTAATTTCAAAACCAGATCCACAATTTTAGCAAGGGGATGACTTCATGGAAATTTTAAACAATCCTTTTTTAAAAATTAACAAAATTTCCTTTTTTTGGCGCAACGGGCAATTTTGGAGAAAAAACGCCAAATGTGTATTTTTGGCTAATTTTGTAAACTTGTGACCAAAACAATGCGATAAACTGGGCGCGCGGTTTTTTTTTTCAATTTGATTTGTAAAAACTGAAAGTAGCTTTTACCAAAATTTTAATGCTAATCGGCCAAATTGGAGTAGTAACAACGGATAGCCTAAAATTTGAGTATTGCAAGAGTAGCCGAAGAGTTCGTAAATGATCATATATTTTTGAAAGTTCAAAAGGCGTACAAAAGTTTCTCATTCTATTGTAAAATGGAAATAATTTTTGAAGAATCCTTTTAGTCAAAAAATTGAGCAATAACGCAACTACAAAAAAACTATTATGACAAATTTTTTGTTTCAAAATATTATAGTCATACTTTTAAGTCTGAAAAACTAACTGAGTAAGAGCTAAATTTATGAACTCAAAAAATGATATTGATTAACCCCAATCACAACTCCTTAAAACCTTTTTTTGTGCAAAAAGGTCAAGGCTTTTTAAAAAAAAAGTTTATGTAAATGGTTTTGCAAAAAAAATTCTCTGATTTCTTTGTTAAAACTAACCATTACCATAGCACTGTTTGAAAAATTGCCGCTTTTTTTGAATTTGGAGTCAAAATAAAAATGAACAAGTCTGCTAGAAATTTTGATCTGATTAATTTTCTTAAATAAGCAATCAGGGGATTTTCAAACGCCAATAATTTCACAAAATGTCAACGATTACATCACTCAGATTTTTTTGTTGAAAACTCAAGCTCAGGACAACAAAACGTTTTGAATGATACAAAAAACTTCCGTCAAAAATGGCAAATAAAAAGTCGAATTTTGGCTTAAGAAAAACCCCGAGCACCAATATTCTGTTACTTTCTTTGCGAAAGTCGGAACAAAAAGTATCTTAACTGAGATCATTTTTTTGTTAAGCTATGGGGGTTTACAGATTGCCAGTTTGGCCAATTGGAAACAATTAACGAGCAATATAATTCGCGCTCTTCACTCTGATTGTTCTAAGCTAAATTGAGGTATGGTAATTGGCATATGCGAAGTATATCAATTTGTACTTTGAATAGCGTGTGGTTGTAGAAAGTTTTCAAAATAATTTTGAATTTTTACTTGTTTTTTTTACAAAATTTATTAATTTCTCTTAAAAAGAACACTATTTCATAAATTTTAAAAGGTACCGGCTTTGATAGAAGCAGTCTTGTTTGTATTTGAAATTGAACAAAATCAAAAGCAGGGGCGGATCTAGGATTTTCTCGAGGGAGGGGCAAGGATTTTCAAAGAAAAAAAAAAAAATTTTGTCGACCTTGTTTTTAGTTCAACCAAACTGATTTTCTGAGCTCTCCCAAATCACTATAAAGACTGCATTTTGACCAATTTTTCTGTGCGCAGGCAAATTTTCGAAAAAACAGGCCAAAAAGGCATTTTTAGGCACTTTTTGGAAAATTTTGAACTCTCCCCGGTCGCGCTACCCATCAAATTTAGTATTGTTCTAAGAGGGGTTTCAAACCAATCAGTTGATTTTCCGATGTGTGCCAAAGTTGAAAACAAAGTTTCGTTATGAAAATGGTTATTGGGACTCGATTTGGCAGATTATTGGTTATGCAAAAATGGCCGAACCAATCTTTTTTATTATCAAATTTCATCTAAATGAGTGTTTTCCTTTTACAGCATAGTTTATGAAGGGTGAAATTTCGGTTTGTAATAGTTCATTTTTTATCAAAACAAGTAGGTTTCATTTCAAATAAAATTGTCGCTTTGTGTTTAAATTTAAATTAAAAAAGAATTCAAAGCTTTTCAGACATTTCATTCTTCTCAAATTTTACTCATTTTGGTTTCATTCATATAATAACTTGACTTACAAGTTGCTTAACTTTTGATGAAGCATAGTCTTATCCATTTTTATGGTAACAATTTGGGCTCAAATTTGGCAAAGCGTTTGCATTTTTTTGTTTTCTCCAAATTCTTTGTCACTTTTTGCCTTTGTCAGCCCTATTTGAAAAAAAAACGCGGTAAATTTACAGGTTTTGTTTGGTTTGTTGAAATAACTTAATCAACTTAGTATTTTTTTCTTTGCAATCTTTATGCGGGGTTTGATTTGAATTTTCGGACAAAGTGAACAGTTTCCTCTGCGATAAAGCGTTTTAAGAGGGATGATGGTAGTTTGGTCAAACTTTGCGACAAACTTTTCTGCCAATCAGAATAGAAGTTTTTGCACCTCTCAGTACGGTACAATATCTTGATTTGGTTTTTTTAGGGGGAGGATGTTAACTTTATCCGAAATTCTAGTAAAACTCGAAGCAGATTTTCCAAAAGCAAAGCTTCTTGTCTTTCAAATCAGTTAAATCGAAATTTTGAGCTGCATTTAAGCTCCAATCTTTTGAATAATATTTGTCTAAATTCATGAATTGCCGATTAACTTGATTACTTAAACAATAGATGGCTTACAGGTGTATTAAATTACCAACGAGCAGCTTCCAAACTCCTAAATGTTTAATGCTATTTTGATGCAATTTTTGATGCATTTTTAAGTGAATCTCGTTCAAAAGGAAATTGTATTAAGAAGAAGTTAACTGGAAGCAATACTGCTAAGTTCTAGAGAAATTTGGGGGAAAAATATCTAATGGTCAGATAAGTTGGACCAACCAGCTAGAATAGCAAATACAACAATTTATTTAATTGTCCATTTGTCATCTACTTTTACGACAGAGTGTTAAAAACTAAGACCAAGACAGTTTTTTTTTATTAAATGTTTTTTTTTCGAAACCAAGATAGTACCACACTCAAAACTATCTTTGTTTTTTTTCTGATTTTGTGTGAAAAAGTATCAACCCAACGTCATAGTTGCTTCCCATTCATTCAAGAGTGGCCGGAAAAGAGTTTCTTTTCGCGCTGCTAAATTCATTCTTGTTTTGTTCAAAATACTGCTGAAATATTTGTTTGGTTGATTTTCCGACAAGTCGCTTTCGCCAGCAAAGTTGGGATACGACTGCAATAACATGCTGAAAAGAATCGTCAATAGATTTGTTGTAGTTTCATTCTGGTCGAACCTCTTTGTAAAAATGGTTCAAAAATAGTGAGTTATTCTGTTTGTCTAGAATGGGGCACGCCTGGGGCGGAGATCTCGACTGCCACTATGATTCTCAGAGCGACTGTCTACTTCCTAGGTAAGTAAAGCACTCTTCCTTCTATCTTTTCTATGTAGACTCAAAATGGACATTAAAATCCTGCAACCCCGAAGAAAACCTAACTCTCTCGCTAAGCCATTTTTAAGGAGGGACGTTTTTTAGAGATGAAGTTGGGGGGGGGGGGGGAGGAGGGGGGTTGCGCTCATCCGAAGAGATTAATGAGAAAGATGTAACGTTTATAAAATCTCCTCGTATAGCTTATTTTTGTTTTAAGAACTGCTTAGTACTATGTCAAAACATAATGTTTAATAGGTTTGTGAGAGGATTTTCAAATGGTCCCCAAATTTTCAAATTAGTACCCAATTAAATTGAAAAATTTGTGAAATCTGTTTGATTTAATATGTTCTAAGTTTCTCGTGGGTATCATTTTGCCAGGATGAATCCTTAGTTTTTCCCAGGCCTCTGCTACATGTTTCTCGGAGTGTCTCAAATAGCCGACTTGTTCATGGAGGCGATCGAAGTGATCACTTCGACAACTTCAGTCAGAGTCGTGAAAACATCTTCAGGCGAGTACAAAGAAATCGAAGTGCAAGTCTGGAACGAAACTGTCGCGAACTTGACTTTGATGGCACTCGGCTCTTCGGCTCCCGAGATTCTACTGTCGGTGATTGAGATTTGCGGCAACAATTTCGAAGCGGGAGATCTAGGGCCGGGCACAATTGTCGGCTCAGCGGCCTTTAACTTATTCGTCATCACAGCAATATGTGTGGTTGTTATCCCAAATGGCACGGGGAAAAGTGTGAAGAACTTCGGAGTGTTCACGTGTACTGCAGCGTGGAGCATTGGCGCGTATATTTGGTTGTACATGATGATCGCCGTCATTTCAAAAGAGAAGGTTTGAGTATAAAGTTTCAAAGTTATGCAAGAAACGTAGCTCCGGTGTAATATGGGTCTTTGCTTTTCTATTTAGCAGTTTTTGGAGTTTTGTCAATTAAAGAATTTATGCTATCTGGGTTTATTATGCCGGTTAAACTATGCCAAATAAGATAATACGAAAGCTCTCTCCAAATTTCGAATGAATTCGCATTCAATAAATGAAAAAAAAAATTATTCAACTTTTCGAAAAGTCATGTTTGCTCAAAGGGGATTAAAACTTGAATAAAACTAAGAGGTCTGAATTTGTTCAGGTGGATTGGTGGGAAGGTCTCGTCACTCTTCTACTGTTCGGAGCATTCATCCTAATGTCCTACACGATAGACAGGAAGAACGAGGCCTGTGCTCTGGGCTTCCGATACGTCGGCATCTACGACCCCGAGGATCAGGACGCGACTGTTGCAGTTGCTAACGGGGAGGGAGGATCGGTGAGTCAGTTATGGGTAATATCGGTGAAAAAATAACAAATTTTTGCCTTAAAAATAAGCCCTACGAATAGTTTTTAGAGGAGCTACGGAATTTTTCGGAACTGATACGGCTGTCGTTTGTTCACAGTTGTTATGGTAGACGTTTTTTGAAAAAAAATATCTTCTGCAATCAATTGATTTTCCTTTGATTTGTTCCTATTTTTTGAACTTGCTTGAATTCAGGAAAAAATACCTCTTAACGATGTTGAAAATGGGGCAGCGGTTGACAACAACCGGGCCGACTGTGCGTCACCAGGTTCCGTCAGACTGTCGAATATCGTGAAACAGAAAATGTCGACAAAGGAGAAAATCATGGCCCGAGTGAAAGAAGTCGCCGACAACAACCCTGCAGATCCCGACTCGTGGTTCAAGAGTGTCGACTCGCAGCTGAGTCAAATCATTTTCTACGGCAAGTCGCGAGCTTATTTCCGAATTCATAAAACCGACGTCAACAATCAAACTCGCAAGTACCGAAGATTTCTGGAGGATGCCGTGAATCAGCTACGCGACATCAAAAAAGACTCGGCGACCCGAAACGTCGTGTTTTGTGCCGACAAGAAAGTTAAGTTTCCCGAGTCGTGTGGAAAGGGAAAAGTGGTGATTGAAAGAGCAGGTCCGTTCACTGAAAAGGCGACAACTAAAGTGCATTACGCGGTAGTAGAGAGCGAATCAGCGACGAACGCGGCAACAGCCACGAAGGATTTCGAAACTTCCGAGGGGTAAGTGTCTGTCAATTTTTTCAGTTTCTCGTTCTCTAGTAGGATTTTTTCGTATTTTTTGTACATTAATGGTCGAAACAATAGGAGGTTTGAATGAGTTTTTGTTCGGGGAGCAATGGTGAAGTGGCAAGGTCTCCTCCTATCTGCGGAAAATCGGCCCACCATGATTCGCGTTCGATCTTAGTCAGAATAGTACCAGCCCGCAGTGACAAAAATGGATGAAAATTGATTATATGCAGAAAAAAGTTGATATTTAAGACCAAGTTTAATTCGCTTTAATAATTATTATATTTTTAATAATTGCTTACATTACGAGGCCAAACTGTGCTCTGGATAGGAGCAGAATTTTGTGTCTCTAAGTTTCTGGATTCCAAAAACACGTCTTTAAACAAGTGAAATTTTTTCGGAACGATCAAAGGAAAGCAAAGAACAAAAAAAGAACAAAGGGAGCATCCTTGTTGCGGAATCCGCTTACAATGCACAAAATGCACAGTTTGGCCTCGTAATGTAAAATGCACTGAGTTATCCTAAAATTTCATACTGTTCAACTTCATAATATATACAGGGGCGGATTTAGGGGGTGGGCGGGGGGGGGGGGGGACGGACGCCCTTTCCTCAGGGATTCGACCCCCTGCCGACCCAAAGGGTCCCCCCTTTGATACTTTTTTAGAAATCCATTTTTGGCGGACCGACCCTAAAATTTTTCTAAAGGCGCCTTGGGCGCCAATATATATTAACTTTGAGGGGGAGCGCGCGCCAAAAAAAAACGCAATTTTTTTGTCACAATTTTTCAAAAAGTGCCTAAAAACGGCTTTTTTGACTGTTTTTTCAAAAATTTGCCTGCGGCGCAGAAAATTTTGCCAAAATAGGCGCAAAACAGTGCTTTGGGAGAGCTCGAAAAATCAATTTGGTCGACCTAAAAAAAAAAAAAGGTCGTCAAAATTTTGGAAAATTTTTCGAAAATCCGCCCCCCCCTCGAGATAATCCTAGATCCGCCCCTGAATATATATCATAATTATTCACACCGCCAAAAAATCTTTAAAATCTTGACTGACTATAACACTGACGGAGGTTTTTCCCTTTAGTTTTTTTTTTTGCTGAAATTGGTGTACAAAATTAATCACTAAATGATGTTGTATTCTTTAAATAATTCAAAGCTGATTTTTAGAAGCCCTATAGTTCTTCAAATGAATGGTTTCCATAGGAATTATATACAGATTGAATTCATATTACTTAAAAATTATAAATAGATTCTATACAAGACATATTTCGGTCTGATTTTATACAGTTTATATAGATATTCTTAGTAGGGGAATCAGGGGGAGACGGCGGACGCCTTTTTTTCGGGGATTCGACTTTTTGCCGATTCAAAGGGCCCCCCTTTGCACTATTTTGGGCTAACAATTTTTGGTTGACTGACCTTAACATTTTTCTAATGTCGCCTTTGACGCCAATATATATTAAATTTGAGAGGGACCGTGCGCCGAAAAAACCCATTTTTTTGGTCGAAGTTTTCCAAAATGTGCATTAAAAACGCCTTTTTTATCTTCTTTTTTCTGAAAAACTTGCCTGCGCAGGCGCAAAAAAATTTGTCAATTTAGGGTCTTTATAGTGATCGGAAAAAGCTCAGAAAATCAATTTAGTCGACTTAAAAACAGGTCGATAAAATTTTCAAAATTTTTGTGAAAATCCACCCCCCCTCTCGAGAAAATCCTAGATCCGCGCCTGCATATTATTGACAGAGTATCCACAGAATAACAAAAGATAACAGGTATTAGTAAAAATGTTGAGAAGGTTTGGAAATATAAAACTGATTGGTTTTAGACTTTAAAATCCGTTCCTCTTGATGATAAAAAATACTTTTATCTGTGTAGAAACGATTACTGCTCGCAAAATGGAAATTAGTCGCAGGATAAATCGGCTCTTTATTCACAATTGTGCAGTAAAAAATCCGTTTTCAATTTGTAGGATTTTTTCACTGCAATAAAAAAGATTAAGCATGATTCTAAGCAGGAGAATAGCAAGCAATTCTCCTTGAAAATTTGAGCAGTTTGTAAGCTGTTCTTCTACCTCAAGGATATCTTATGTTACTTACACATGAAAGCAAAGATATCCGGTTGCTGTGCAAATAGCAGAGATTTCAACCAATATAATTTAAAAAAACTTTAAACTAAGATTTTCTTTTTTTTTCTCAAGTTAATGAAAGTTATTCTTCAGAAAAATTTGACCGAAAAACAATTAGAAGTAATAAAAGCTAGAAGAGCGTTGATATTCAGCCAAATTGAAATGAGAATTTTTCATTGAGTTGATTCAATTTTCAATTTGAGTTGATTCATCCAATTTTATCTCAATTCGTGAAATTTTTTGTAATTTAGTCTAAAAATCGAAACTATTCAGAGCAGTTTTTCACAACAAAGACAAAAAATTTGCACATTTTCTTTTTAGAAGGTAAATCACGGCTACAAAGGGTTTTAATATGATACTGCTTTTGACACGCACTACGATTATTTTTGAGGTAGTCAAAACTGGCTGAAAAAAACTAACTCAACACTAAAGTTCCGTCCCACTTTTCGAAGATAAAATTACCTCAAACACTACATCAAACAGCTCAAAAGTTAATGTTTACTTGAACAACTTTAACTGGATTGTAACGGTACCTAAAAAACATAATGACTTCAAAAAACTACATTTAAAAACTTTAAAGATAATTCTTACACATACGTTTTAAAAATCCAATTAGAAAATTTAGGTATGTTTGCGAGTAGAATAACTATTAGAATAACCCTGAAAAACCAAAAAAATATATTCAAGAAAACTTCTGTAAATTGTTTTGTGAAATTTTTGATTTTGAATGTTTTTTGTACGATCTCTTACGGCAAGTAATTCGATAGGTTTTAAAACCTGTATGTTATATTTTGTGTATTTAAGCAAAAAGCCGATTTTGTAAAAAAAACGATTTTTTTTCTCATAAAAAAATGTGTGGACCTTTTTTTGAACAACAAAAAGGAATTGAAAGAAATCAAGCATTGGAAAATAATTGATTATAATAGCTGAGGTTTCTTTGATTATAGCTGTATGTATTTGGATAATTTTTAAAAAAGTTGATGTCAAACTGACTATTTTTTCAAAAAGGGCGTCTTAAATTAGGCTTCGGAAAAAGTCGCGATAAGTTCATCAAATTTTCTGGGTAGTATTCTCAAGATAGAAAGACCAATGCGTAAATATAGAAAAAATCAAGACAATCAACATCTTTTAAACACACAAAAACTGAATGATTTTTCCGCTTTAATCTCTACAATTTTCGAATGTTGAATTATAAAAGGCTAACAAAAATTGGCACCAAGAAAGCAGAGATGATCTTATCGTACGGAAAACTATTCTGGAAATCATTTAAGTTTTTGTAAATCAAGCCTTTGTGCAAAAATAGTAATTAATGTTTTTTGGAACCTGATTTAAACTACATTTTATTATTGGATAATTTAGATATACGACAAAGTAGAAACTTACCATTTAGTTTTATGGTTGTACGGCAAAAGCCAACACAAACTTTTATATTTAGAATCTTATTAGCAATGAATTTAGATTTTCATTTGCAAACATAAAATTTTGAAGTAAATCTTCATGATCATTTCAGGCGGTAAACAAAATTATTAATGTACAAAAACGATTGATAAAAAGATCTCAGATCGTTTTCTTAATTTCTGCAGTATTATATAAAAACATATTTGAAAAATATTTATTGAAAATAAAAATAAAAATTAGTAGCATGACATAAATTGTTAGTAATCATGAATCATCCTGTTGTTCCAGCTTCATCACCTAAACATAGCAGCAATCATAAGCTCACTAATATCATTAAAAAACTAAATCTTTTTATTAAATAAATTTAAACAACTTTAAACTTAAATTCACTTAATTTTAAATATCAGATCAGCAAGGCTTATCCTTGGATTTTAATAAATTTTCTATTTCAAAAAATTCAAAATCTGATCATCAAGGCCTATCCTTGGATCAAAAAGAACAATTTTGTTCTCCCTCGCCCACTTAGCAAGTGTCTAACGACCTCAAACGTCGATTCACTATCCAACATTTTCAAAAGACCCAGGACTAATAGAAATTTTTCATAAAACTAACCATTCAAATTAAGATAAACAGTGAAGAACTTCGGTTATTCATCCTTCACTTGAACCCTCCTCTTAACAGACCCAGGATTAGTAAGTTTAAAATAGTATCTAACGAACTACTTGCGTTCTAATTATACCTGAACCTTGTGGATCGATTTACTTTTCTCCAACCCTTGATCACAATCACTACCCCTAAGTAGGATTAAGTAAGTTAACACCTTAACTTAGACTAGCCACGAGAAAGTAAAAAATCATTCTTCGGAATCGATATACTTTTCTCTCCAACCCTGAATAAAAAGACCCAGATTAAGCTAACCAAAAAATCGTAAGGACTAACAGTCTAGGAAAATAAAAATCACTAATAACTTCTTGCATCCCTCATCCTAAACCTTATGTCATTCAAAAATTTAGGAAACAAACAAACAATCGTTTTACAAAACTGTGAAATAGATAACAAAAAATACGATCTTGTATTCACTCCACATACACAAACAGTTGGATACATCCGAACAAAACGACAAACAATAAAAAGATAAATTATAAACAAACAAAGACAAATCACACGAAAAAGATTTTCGAGAAATAGAACCGCATTTTCTGAATCAGAAGCCAACAGTTTAGACGAACTGTACAAACTAAAAGAATCAATAGATAAAAATTGTCCCATCCATGATCAATTATATTTTTCCGACTCAGAAACAACTTCAAATTCATCAAAAAGAGGAAAAAGAAGTATAAAAAAGCAATACAAACACAAACCAGTACACTTGTATAATTGGAATCAACCAATGAGACACATCGATAGTTATATATTAACAGTCATAAAATGAAAAAATGAGCCACACTCAAAGTGACGACAGTCCAGATGACGAAGCA